GCAAACTTGGCAAGGTTACTCACCATTTCCCAAAGAATACAAAATGCCACAGGCTAGTCACACACAGGGATTCTCTGGTTCGAAGTTCTTAAGGCTTGGCAACATCCAAGATTAGTTAATTGAAACTACAGTGGCAACACAATTAAGGATGTGAATTTGGGGAAATTTCTAATGTCTGCATCAACTTAGGATGTATTTGTCCTTTGAGTTCAACTTACAAATGAGCCAAAGGTATGTATGTATATGGGACAGCATTCCCATTGGCTCTGGAGACCAAAGAGTAAGACCTTACCTTTTAAAGATAAATTCATGGGGCATAATCTCAGCTGGTGTAAAACCAGCTTAGATCCTTCAGTGTCATTGGCGCTATATTCATTTAGACTAATTAAGGACATGGCCCAGGGTTTCTTTGTGTATTAAGTGCAGGATTTTCTATGTGTAATTCACACAGAGAGAGAAAGAGAGGGAGAGAGAGAGGAAACCCAATAAAAGATCGTTTTAATCGGATGTAGTTGTAATGAAATATAAATAACCCAAATTACACACATATTGTATTAGCTTTTCTCCCACTAGCTAGTGCTAGAAAAAAAAAAAAACAGAGGTAAAGCCAGCTTTTTTTTTCCTGCTTGGTATAATGATCCTTATAAAGTGCTTTTTTTATGCATCTAAACACATCCTGCTAGACTGACAGACACCCCTTGTCAGACAGGCTCCGTACCCCCAGCTTCAGCACTCTGTGCAGCTTAGTTACATCACACTTTGGAGGATTTCATTTTCATTTGGAAGAATGCCCAGTTTTTAACTTTTCCCACATGTGGAAGGCATTTAACTTCAGCTCGGATTGGATGGAAGGAGGAACGCACGAGTGGACAGTAAGTACTCTAAACCAGGGAAGTTTAATTTGAATAAACCCCAGAGCTCAGGGGAAGCTGAGAGAGCTCAGCGCTGTATCCAAGAATTGCTCTTTTTGCTTCTTTCCGGTACTTTTCTTCCTCAAAGAACTGACCTCTTTCGCCTTCTTTTCTTTTCATCTCACAAAGAACTTTTAAAACTATCGGTAATAACAGATCTTCTGTCTTGTCTGCTCAGACTGTAGGCGATTTGGGGCAGAAACTTCCTCTTTCTGTGTATTTACAACTTCTAACCCAGTGAGACTCTGCAGCTGTGTAACAGTAGTTACAACAGTAATGTCTAGAAGGGTCTGACCCATAGTTTACTTAAACCAAAGGGACTTGATGTTGATGGGCTTGGATCAGACCTTTTTCAATTCTTTTCATCCATAGATCTGAAAACATTTTTTTCATGAAATGAAGTCTCATACAATGTAAGATCTTGCTTTTTCACTCCTGGTGCAGAGATGTTTTACTATTTTTGTATTTATTTAGTATTTTAAAACAATTTCTTTTCCAAATCCAGGACAAAAGTTAACTGCTCCTAGCATTATTTATACTGTCTGGTTGCATTTCCAATAACATTTACGACTCTGAAATGGCATGGCATAGTGGCTGATAAAATACTTTTATTCTGGCTACCATCTTCCTTAATTTCTTACTGTAGTTATAACATGCTTATTCTGATAACATTTTATCCACTACCTTTAAAACTGCAAAAAAATAGATATCAATATTTAACAATATTTTAAGGATTATACAATATATAAACTATTATTTTATGGCAGTTACCAGTTCTTAAGATACGACTGCCAAAAAGCATACCAGTGTAAGTAGAGGAAGAATGTAAAATGATAAATCACAACATAATTTTATAGTCTAATATCTCACCATCTGCCAGACATCAAAACAAATGCTTTTTACTGTTGGAAAACTGAGATTTTTAACTTTCCAGTGACATAAATCATGCTTTTCAAGGTCTAAAAGTTTATGAGATACTGGAACTTAAAACTGTCATTGGTCCTTTGGTTTAGCAATTCCTTGATGGCATCGTTCCAATGTTGAATAGATCGAGTCCTAGACTTCAGGCCAGAGTAATTTTCAACCTCTCTAAGTCTCTCATGTTTAACTGTGTGCTGAGTGTTTAAGAGAGATAAAAGTGTCTTGCAGGTAACTAGCCAGAGCCCACACAATTCATTTTCACTTCTTTCCAAGTTAAAATTTGAATCCAGATCTCACTTTATGATCAGCTAAATTTTACCAGGATGATTCACAGTCAATGGAGAACATGTATTTATGCCAAATGGTTGCTATTCACATAATCACATGTACTAGATTACTAATAATTAGCATTTCTAGAATGCCTTTTCCTCCATGGCTCTCAAGGCACTATATGAACCTATGTAAGCATTCTTACATGTGCCTTGCACAGCATCAAAAGAAATAGCAAATGTTTGTAATAGGTTACCATTATTGCAAAGGATAATACTTCCTAAGGGCATGAAGCCACTCAGCTTTTGACACCCAAGCCCAGCTATATTTCCATCTCATCTTCATACCTCTGTTTGCTTGATTCATCCATCCCATCTTATAGATTCTTTTACCAAATGCAGGCTTGTGTATCCACAAGGGGAAGAATATCTTTAAATCAAGACAGTTTCGTTGAAGTAAATTAGAACATCCGCATATGTGAAAAGGATCTCAGCTTATTCTAGGCATTTTATAAAAGGCAGGGTTAGGAAGAATAAGTCGCTGTTGTCTGAACTTCAAACACCTTTGGAAATTCCATTCTGGTAACACGATAGTTTCACTTAATTTCATTCTGGGAGGAGTGTGCGGGAGGGATGCAGGCATGATCTGCTCAGATCCACGTGTGGAGTTTGAAAAATAGATTTTCCTGTTAAATTTGCCCACTTCAGCTGATGGAATTAACTTTGGGAACTGCAGGTCAGATATTATGGGGCATGCATCTTTGCTTGCTCAATGGAATTGTAGACTCTGTTATGGGCTCCATTTATTCGGGCTATTACTGCAGTCTGTGCTGGATCATGCCTCTGCTAAAGGACACCAGCTTTGCTGTCAGACAAGCTGCAGTGCTCTAATGTGCAGGCCACATGCTTTCCAGTGGATCATATGGTTCTCCCACTGTATGGAAGGCATTGATAAAGTAACTTTGTAGTTTTAGGATTAGGGACTAGAACTTGAAAAGCATCTTCTCTGGGATGAAAAGAGAAACTAATGAAGAGAAAAGCTGGCAAATGAATAGTAATTTGCTGCAGATAATAAGTGGTAATGGGACCATGACAGTGGGAGCCACAAAGGGCTTCTTTCTACCTCGCCCCTTCTCGTTCTGCTCTTTTTACAGCTGCTAATCCCCATACTCATTTCAGATTCAAGCTCATTCCTGAGCTGAAAGTAAAAAAGTAGACTAGCAGGAGACTTTCCATGATTTCCCTGGTAACTGCCCAATGCCTCCAAAATTTCATGATAGTGAGGTTGGAATGAATCACATTTTTGACTGTGTGAGATGATTGAATGAGAAATCTGACTTAAGGTGTACTTTTCTTTTCACACTTATGAGCAACAACAAAGAGAAATATTATATTTCATATCCAGGTTTTTCTCCTTAGGTGTCCCATTATAGAAGCCTCTATAATCATTAAGGCACCTTAAAATATGTACCACTTACAGGCTTTTCCACTGGTATGACTGCAAAGCACTCTAAGGCAAAATCAGGCACCTGGACATGAATCAGGGGACATTTTATAAATAACTACACATGTTAACTTGACTAGTCAGAAGTTTTTTTCTCTACGCTACTTTATTCAGGCATATAAAGGGGAAGTTTGTAAAATTAATACCCACTATTTAATGGGAAATTTGTTAAATGAACTGAAAAAGCAAGTACAACAAAGTTTCTGCCTTAGTCATTGTGTTACTGTGCAGTTTGTTGGCTGTTGTTCCAGCTTTTACATAAAGGGGAAAGTGTGTAGAGAAAACATTTATTGTGCTTCTGGATTATATAGGTCTTCTGTTGTACAATAGGACTATGTCATGGTTTTCCACTTATACTACAGGCAGTATGAACGTGACATTTTACCTGGCAAGTGCAATGCAGATTTTGACCTATTTTAAAATATCTGCCAAAAAACAGTGCTTCCTAGTAGCCAGATAAAAAGTTCTCAAGCACACTGGAAAAACTGCAAAAAATAATGTAACTGCATGGAGTTTGGAAGTAGGTAGAACTCAGCTCTTAAAGCCAAATATTCCAACCATCTCTCAACCAACTGCACTGACTGAAGCCAAGATCCTGGCTACTAAGTACAGTAGAACTGCTGAAGAGGCAGTTGTGCTGACGACTGTAATGCAGCACAAGGAAGTAATGAGCATAGGAAAGATTGTATAGTACAAAGACTTCAGTATGTGAAGTGGTTCATTATGGCCACCAAGGATTTCAACCCCCTGCCTTCAAAATGCCCATGTAGCTAGTAGTAAGATAACAGTTGAGCCTCCCTTTGTCTATCATACTTCAAGACAGAGCTGGATGCTACCTTTTACTCAGAGAGGGAGGGAAGAAGGTGACAAAAACTTTAAAGCAAACAAGCACGACCTGGTGAATTAAAAATAGAAAACATCCAACTCTTTTCAACTTATACAAGTGTGTAGTGGTAGAAGTTATTTGCAGGTCCAAGCCTTACAAGTGGAGTCGATCTGAAAGTGGGGTTGGGGGGATATACTCCTCGAATTACTGGATTGGCCAAGTACATCCCAGGAATTCACCTTCAATCTGAAATTCATTTTCTATCCCCACTGTCATTTCTTTTTTAACCACAGATCTAGCATTCAACATTCCAACACGAATTCATTGGTTCATTCATTTGCTCAAACCAATGCCAATGAGAAACTTATCTGAGTGTATCTGACATCAGAAAATAAACTATGTACATGCACACCCCATAAAAGAAAAACATTCCCAGATGAGATGCCTGGCAGATCAGAATGAATAAAGCACTGACTGTAAAGTTCACAAGAGACATCTATTATTGCAAGATAAAAAAAAAAAATAAGCTCTGGATTTTTTAAATTCAGCAATCAATGAGAAAGACTTACTTTATAAGCCCTGATATGGATTAGATCCCACTGTGAACAGCCTCCATGAAATAAATATGATGTAAAAGTCACCTTCCAGCTTCCCACTTTGTTGCTGTCCTGTCAAAACTCAGAAAAGTTGTCTTGTCTTACAGTGTGTGTGTGTGTGTGTGTGTATGTGTGTGTGGTATGTGTGTGTGTGTCTGAAAGAGAGAGAGATGTTTGACAGTAAGGCAAATTGTGGTTAGAGCAGCCAGCTTCTGCTGGGTTTATATAGCTGAGCGAGAAATCCTGATCCCTGCTCATTCCACTGTAATGGGATGCCTGAAGGCAAGCTTTCCACTTTTTTTTTTTTTCCAGTTGACGAATTAAAGGAACAGCCTCCCTCTGGAGCCTGGGAGCTTGTGAAAGACAAATGCGCGCACTGGTGTGCACACACACATGCATATGCATGGTGACAGACACAAAAAGGTATTTGCATGCAATTTAGGGGAAAAGAAGGAAACCCCTGGCTCCATTAAAAAGAAAGTCATCTCAAGGCAAGTGAAGCAGAAAGGATAATATCTTCCTTATAGTATAGCAAAGGATACTTCTCCATTTTAATATTGTGCAAAAAGAAACAAATTTAAGTCAAATGAGAAGGGTGACAGATTCCAAATTCAACCCCCCAGGGCTTCTAGACCCCAATCGGCTAACTTTCCACCTGGTCTAAGGCAGCCATGCTCTGTCAAAGAGAGCTGAACTACACTAATGTACACCAACTGAGAATTTGGCCCGTCTGTATAATTTCAACCTTGTCCCCTCATTAGTGTCTCTGTGAACTGCTGCTAACTCAACAGTGATAGGGGATAAAGTGAAGAAAATGAGTAAAATCTACTGAACTGAGATCTGCCTGACTTCTTTTCCCAGTGTTTTATCTCTTCCCTTCAAGAAAATTGGAGGTCGCATCTTTCTTCTCAGTATCAGATAAAGGGGGATTATATGTCTGGGGTGCATGTGTGTTGGAAAAGATAATCTGTTCCTTTTTTATTATTATTACTGGGGACAAAGCTCCTACATTCCCCTTTGTTTCTCCCCCTTTTCCGTCTTGCTATTATCAATAATTCACAGGCTGCTGATTTTAGGGGATTTCAAGGACACCTTTTGTTATCTCTGGCTCTCCTAGAACCTCAGGCTTGTGACTAAGAGTTAAGGGTATGTTAGCAGCTGTGCTAACATTGACATTCCTCCTATCTAACAGGATAAATTGGCCTTCTCCCATTTAGTCCTCATCATTAGCATCTTGTCCTCAGGGACTTGCAGCTCTGCCTTCATCTGGCTCATAACTATGTACCAGCTATAATGTGTCTGATGGTCTTCCAGTTAACAAACATACTAGCAATAAGTTAGCCATCTGATGTCCTCCTTTTGGTATGATCCAAAACCCACTCAAGACAACAAAAGCATTTCTATTCACTTGACCAAGTAATGGATAAGCTACACAAGAAGCAGCTACGAAAGTACAACCTTAGAGCACTGCTTAGATCTAAATTACAGCTCAAACTTGTTGTCTAGATCCTTCAAATCACTTCATTTCACTTATCTCAGCTCTTTTTCAGTTGACATTTCTGAGGAGCACAGGGTTTGCCATGTAAGATCAGACCATCTGTCTATCAAATTCAGTACCATGCCTCTGGCAGTGACCCAGTCCTGATACGTCACAAGAAGGAAGATTCTCTCCGCCCCAAACTATCTAAAAAAGACAAAAAGAAATGATCAGCTATACAGTGTATGTGGGAGGGGCAGAAATCTTGACCTGGAGCAATCATCTTAAATCCTGAATCATTTAAAATCCCATTAAAGCATCATCTTAAGTCATTTTAGATTGTAGAGATACAAATGAGTTATGGATCTTAACACGATTGAGTCTTCCTTTAAATCCATAATAATTCATTCTATTCTTTGAGCCTCTTGTAAGCTGACACCTCTAGTTTATATTAAAGTCAGTCAAAAAAGAAAACAGGAAACGGCAAAAAAAGATCCTGTTGCTTTCCAAGCAGATAAAGACCTCATCTAAAAGTTCAAAATTCAAATTTTCAGTTACAAAATACTAGCTTCCTGTACTGTAAACTCTATATTCCAAGTTTCTGACCAGTTTTGTTTCTGAAGAATTATATCCTACTATAGAATCTGAAAAAGTTATCAGTGAAATATTCTAATATCCAGTAGATATCTCCAGCTAAAATCTCCATGCCCCACTTTTCGGGGCAGGCTGAATCTTAAGTTTGTGCCCTCCTAGGTTTCATTTACAATGACAGTTTTATGGAAACTTGCCACTTTCTTTAATGCCAATGCATCTCAGCAAGGTAACAACCTTGTGAGTGTGAGAATAGATGGAACAGCAATATTTATCTTGTATTTTGTGTCTAGCCCTTCTCAGAATATGACCTACATGGCATGGGAGTAGTCAATACAGGGAGACCTAACTGACCAGTCTATGCTATTGCTTCTTCCTGCAAAGTTCAAGGTAGACTCATGCAAAGGGAAAAGAAAGGCTGAACAGGAGGTGTACCTCCATTGGGACAGCACTTAGGACAGAAGATTCCCATGCACCACTACAACCTGGGGACTGACTGGCTAAGCAGCAGCTCTGCAGAGAAGAACCTGGGGGTGACAATGGACAAGAAGATGGCTATGAGTCAGCAGTGCACCCTTGTTGCCAAGAAGGCTAAGAGCATCCTGGGCTCCATTAGTAGGAACGTTGCGTTGGAGAGTTGCCAGCAGATCCAGGGAAATAATTATTCCACTCTATTCTGCACTGGTGAGGCCACATCTGGAGTACTGTGTCCAGTTTTGAGCCCCCCACTATAGAAAGGATGTGGACAAGTTGGAGAAAGTCCAGCAGAGGGCAATAAAAATGGTGAGGGGGCTGGGGGACATGACTTGTGAGGAGAGGCTGAAGGAACTGGGTTTATTTTGTCTGCAGAAGAGAAGACTGAGAGGGGATTTGATAGCAGCCTTCAACTCCCTGAAAGATGGTTCCACAAAGGATGGAGCTGGACTGTTCTCAGTGATGGCAATGAAAATGGTGAGGGGGCTGAGGCACATGACTTCTGAGGAGATGCTGAGGGAACTGGGTTTATTTATTCTGCAGAATAGAAGACAGAGGGGATTTGATAGTGGCCTTCAACTACCTGAAGGGGGTCCAAAGAGGATGGAGCTAGACTGTTTTCAGGGGTGACAGATGACAGAACAAGGAGCAATGGTCTCAAGTTGCAGCAAGGGAGGTTCAGGTTGGATATTAGGAAAAAAATTCTCACTAGGAAGGTGGTGAAGCTCTAAAACAGGTTACCTAGAGAGATGGTGGAATATCTATTCTTGGAGGTTTTTAAGGCCCAGCTTGACAGAGCCTTGGCTGGGATGTTCTAGTTGGGGATGGTCCTGCTTTGAGCAGAGGGTTGGGTTAGATGACATCCTGAGGCCCCTTCCAACCCTCATTTTCTGTGATTCTATGATTGGCTGATGTTTCAAATGTGATGGGGATTCAGGAAAAAAAAGGATTCCAAAACGTACCATTTCACAGTTGGCTAAAAGCATTAGGCTCATAAGCACATAAGCTCACAAAGTTTAAGGCCAGGGAAGATGATTATCAACATGCAGTATTTTCTAGTACAGATCCTCCCATTTTTCACTTAATCCAGTTAGCATCCTCACTTCCAGCATCCTCACTTGGGAAGTAAAAATTGATGGCAGGGTTTTTTTGTTTTTCTTGCTTGTTCTTTTTTTTTTTTTACAAGAAAAAGGGAGGGAGGAATTTCTTCTACATATATGTAAAAAACATGTTCAGATGGGTCCAAAACTAGTATTTAGATGCTAATCACACAGTGAAGCAGACCCTAACCCACATGAATTCTGGAAAACATTCATCAGATGTATATGTCTTCTTATCATGACATGACAACTAGTATCTGATTGCAGGAGCTTGAACAATCTGGCTTGGTCAGGATTCACTGCTAAACTGTCTCACTCACATCTAGAAATAATCTGAAACTGAGCAATATTTGAGAATGAGACTTGAATGCTGGCCTGAAGGGGAAGCATTTGAAAATACAGTGAGAAATAATGAGTCCTCAGTGAATCTTGAGATGTCACTAACTATATTACACAAATCAATAGACTAAGTAACATCATACAGAGGGAAAGAAGCAACCTGAATGAATGAGTCTCATTAAATATAAATGACCAAGTGACGGCGTTTTCATACAAGGTAAGAGATACCTAGTATGAATGGCTTTGAAACCTAGGAACCATCTTCAGCACAGGTCTCTGGAAGGAGATGAGTTTCTAGGTGGAGATTAGTGATGAAATGAGAGAAGGATCAGATGTGCAAATAATATAAAAAAGCTGGGAGGCAGAGCAAATATATATCACATACACTGATTAATTTGACATGCGTCCAAAACAAAACAAGTTTACTTGTGGATTAAATGAATTACATTCCTTAGTCATAAAAAGTCCCATTGTATTCTGTGATACATGTGCTGTGGAAAGGAAACTCTTGCTCGTGTGAAGGAGATGTTGTATTACCAATTTAAATAGCATGAAGGAATCAGCATTGGGAAGATTCAATTTTTGCACTTCAAAGACAGTACTGTAAGGACAGATGAGTTTAATGGTATGCAAGTAAAGCAAAGTCCTTGGGTAAAAGTGTTTAGTGTAAAGTTCTTATGCTGCAGGAACATTTGAAAGCAGCATCTTTGTCTGATTAGAACAGGCCATCAGAAAGGGGGAATCCTGTCTCTTCTGCTTTCAGTATGACTTTGGGCAAGTCATTCTTTTTTCCAGTCCCCAGCCTGATGCTTTCAGATTTTCACAGGTTAAGTACAATTTGTAGCTTGTTTTGTTGTTGCTGTTCTTAAACTCCTCAAAATTAGAAGCACTGGAGCTCCAAAATTTAGACATGGGTCTGCATTGAAGTGTGAGGCTGTACAAACATGAAACCATAAGGGTAGAGGTAAACTAACTATTTAGACTTGATAGCAAGTTAGAATAAAGAATAATAAATATAATAATATATAATAAATAAAATAAATATTATATAAATAAAAAATCTTGCTTTCTTCCATGGTGTCTATGTATATATTAATGGGAAGGTTAGTCACTACAAAGAGCTCTTAGGTGTAACTACAGCATGGCCACAGACGTCACGGTGAAGTAGTGCAGAAATTCTGAATCTAGCTTTAAAATGGCTTGCTCAGGAACCAGCAGCTGTTGAGCTAAGACAGGGTCAAACACATC